GAAGAACGATCTCATTTATTCTGAACTCACAGGAGATTGCAGATTTTATTCACATTGGAAGATGGACTAGTCATTGAAACCGTTGTGATTCCTTGCCAGAGGGGAAGAAATACAGTATGTGTTTCTAGTCAAGTGGGTTGTGCAATGAATTGTCAGTTCTGCTACACTGGAAGGCATGCTCGATCTTCGTGCTATTATTCTACATCAATTTCTTGGATACTCTATTCGTATATGGAACATATTTGACTAAGTATAAAAATTTGCTTGTATGTGAATAAGTATGTTTTATTTTAAAATGAACTTTTCACTTGCTTTTAAGCTTTGTCAAACATGCTCCATTTATTCTCTATCTGGTACGAGCAACTCCAATGTGTGCACCAAATTTTGGTGCAAAGTCACTCCAATGTGCACCAAACTTTGCACCATTTTGGTGCAAAATGGTGCAAAATAGTGTTGCACCAAATACTATTCACTTTGCACCAAAATGGTTAAGTACTCTCTTTCACTTTGTGAAAAAAATTGGTTAAGGGTATGTGTGTCCATTTTTGTTATACATTTTTTAATACCATAAATTATTATTATTTTGAGCATTTGTAATAAATTTTAATAATGTAATCAATAATAGTAAAGGAAATAATATAAGAATACTCAAAAAATTTGAAAAAGTAACAAACACGATTATTTAATGACATGATTTAATATTTTCTTATATAGGCTCACATTGCACTTCGAAACGCATCAATTGATGTAAACACCCTACTTATATACTTATCCGAGAATTAAATTGCAATACTATTTCGACTTCTTAATATCATGATATCGAGATTCGAAATGCATTGAACTATTATTTAATGACATGATTTAGTATTTTCTTATTTGTGGTGTTTCTATTAATTGTACTATATTTTTAAAAAAATTTAATGAATTTAATATTTTCGCTAATTTAACGTAATTATTTATTTAGTAATTCATGTAGTTGTAAAATAAATAAATTTTCAAATAAATAAATTGTTAATAAAACAAAAAAGATTAAAAATTGTTCATTTGGCGTAATGGGTTTGAGATAATTTCTAGTTTGGTACAAGATTTGGTGCAAAACTTACCTCAAATTTTGGTGCAGCGTTGAAGATGGCCTTAGACTATGATTGAGCCCCATTTTTTTGGAGAAATATATTTTGTAATAGTGATATTTTTTGGAAAATGTATGGTTAAAAAGTAGGAAAAAGTTTTGGATTTACGTGCAAAATTATTTTATTGAGAGAATGTGTAGTTGAAAATGAGTTTTTAAAAAAAATTAGTTTTTAGAGGCGCAAACAGGAGCTTAAGGTTACTTGCATTATAATTTATTGAGTTGTTTTACAGAATGGGACTTAGAAGAAGTTTATCTGCAGCTGAGATAGTGGAACAGGCTGTTCTTGCTCGGCGCCTGCTTTCACATGAAGTCGGCACCATAACAAATGTTGTATTCATGGTAAATGTTTAATTCCGAATTGCTTGCACTTACTAGTTATATCAGCATTAGCTCATGGCACTGTTGAAAGCATTTTTCATGATTAAGAGCCTGTTTGACAACCATTATTGTAGAAAAAAGAGTTTTAAATAGCGATTTTTAGGAGAATGTGTGGTTAACAAGTAGGGAAAAGTTTTTGGTATATGTGTAGAATATTTTATTGTGTGAATGTGTGGTTAAAAATGATCCAGTAGCAAATCATAAAATAAATTAATAGGTGTCAAACAGGCACTAAGTATTGATGTGCTCTTGGGATAAAAAATAAATAAATAAAATCCTTATTTCTCAAGCCAGTTACAATTGTGATACTTGCTAGTGAAATCTTTATTCCTGAACAGGAATCGATGTCATTTCAACTAGCATTTCTTGTTAAGATACTGCTAAGTACTCTATATGGATATCAAGAGTTACTTTAGTATTACTGTTGACCTGATAGAATTTTAGTCTCGTTTGGCACAACACGGAATACTAGATTGTGATCATTAGAAAATTGATAATGAAATAAACTTTTGATGATGTTTGTGAAGCTGTTCGAATCAGAATTTTGAATTGTGAGAATCCTTTCCAACACAGTAAAGAAGGTAACTGAAAGGTGCATGTTTGGGAATTGTTTATACTTTATAATAGGTTTTAATTATCAATAGATAGAGATGAGTGGTGGATAAATGAGTAATACGGGTGGATCCTACGAAATATGTGGATAAAAAGTGGTTTGACCAAAAGTGCTTAAAGACTTGGCAAAAGAGGGCAGAATATTTGATAATCCACGATCCAGAATTAGCACCAAGACGTCACATTCCGATTATGGCACGAAGAATCAGAAACTTTGCTTACTGATTCGAATGTGCTGTGAGTGTATAATTGAGTTAATTATCTATCAACTCAAACATAATTGGGAAGACAAACCACTTTTCTTTTAATGCTTATGGGGAAGAGAGAGGCCTGTTTTGGATGGTAGGAATGGGGGAGCGAAGGATTTTGATCTTAGACTGAAAAATTAAGCGCATAAACTACCAAATGTGGCCATAATTCCCCTTGAGTTGCACTAATTAGGAGTGCATGGGATGGTATTTATATTATGCACTTTTCTAGCTCTAACAAAGGTATTTTCATGGTCATGTATATATAGGGAATGGGAGAACCACTTCACAACTTTGAGAATGTTATTAAAGCTGCAGACATATTGGTCGATGAGCAAGGTCTTCATTTCAGTCCTCGGAAGGTTACTGTTTCAACAAGCGGGCTCGTGCCCCAATTAAAACGTTTTCTCAATGAATCTAATTGTACTTTAGCTGTCAGCTTAAATGCCACGACCAATGAGGTATTTCTCTTGGAGCCTTATTTTAACCAAATAAATAGTAGACAAGGAGTTAGTTTAGTGTATATAGAGATAATTACTCTTCAATAAAAAATATGCAGGTCAGAAATTGGGTCATGCCAATTAACCGAAAGTACAACTTAGAAATGCTTCTTGGCACCCTTCGCGAGGAGCTTCAACTAAAGCACAACTACAAGGTCTTGTTTGAATATGTAATGCTTGCAGGAGTTAATGACAGGTTAGACGACTCGCAACCTCTGTCTCTTCTAGATGTCTGATCTGCCCATGTTTATCTAAGCTTTTAAAAAAAAAAGGTTTTTCTGTCTCCAAACATGTTTGGTTATCTTTTTTACTTTACTTATGAGTTAATTTTTTTACATTGACAGTTGAACGAGCTCATCTAAAAACTTAAGCTGTTTGAGAGGGGATGCGTTTGTTTATTTAGCCCTTGTTTGAGCTCCATTTTATCAAAAACTCACTTTCAACCACATATTTTCTAATAAAATAATTTTACACGTAAATTGAAAAAATTTCTTATTTTTTAACCCCACATTCTCCAAAAAAAAAAAAACACTGTTCCAAAATACATTTTTCCTCAAAATGGGGCTCAAACAAGGGCTTAAATTAGTCTTCAACTATAACTGTTACTGGTCCACAATATTTATATGCATATTCATTAATTACTGGAATCAATGCAACCGGTTTTGAGATTTGTGTCGATTGTCTCTGTAAATGACATCTTCTCCTTGTTCCTTCCTTGCCCAAATAACTATAAACTTGCTCACCAGTTTCTTAAGAGTACTAATACTGGTGCCCTTAAATATAATATACGGACCTCGTCCTTGAGGACTGATTAGGCAATTTTACTACCATAAGTGCTATATAATAGCACTCTACAACACAGGTAAAAGTCTAAATCCTTGTATACAATCTCGCGTATAATGCAGATGTGGCTAGATAGTTGTTAAATTGATAGTTTATACCTCTTGTTTACTAGGTTCTATCCACTTCTCTGAAAACTCACGTCTATATGTGAAAGAAATATATCGGTTATATTAATGGTTTGATTTGTTTTTCAGTATTGAGGATGCAAAGAGGCTAATTGATCTTGTACGAGGCATTCCTTGCAAGATCAATCTAATCTCGTTTAACCCTCATCAAGGATCCCAGTTTAAACCGACAAAGGAGGAGAAGATGATCGAATTTCGTAATATTCTTGCTGAAGCAGGGTGCGTTGTTTTCTTGAGACTGAGTCGAGGCGATGATCAGATGGCTGCCTGCGGTCAGCTTGGCAAGCCGGGTGAAATCCAGGCTCCCTTGCTTCGTGTTCCTGCTAAATTTCTAGGAGCATTAGAAGCTTTATTGTGAACGTTAGTTTGTAGTGGTTCGTTTTCATAACTTTTTTCAATTAAAAATATAAAGATCACAATTATACTGTCAAACGACTAATTTAATATTCATGGCAGTTTTGAATTCTTGAAAATCAATATTCTAGAAGCTTTACTGTTAAAAACTCTATTGATAATAATTGTGATAATTAGGATCTAAACCTTCAACCAATCGATTAATTTTTGACTGCTCCGCCACTGAGCCACGCGAGATTAGATTTCATTTCGAAGGAAATCCCAAATTGGTTCTATTTAAATTATAATTCGTCTCTCTTTTCATCAACTACACATTCTTCAATAAAATAATATTACACGTAAATTCAAAAATTTTTCCTTTCTTTTAATCACACATCCTTCAAAAAGTTATCATTTCTTTCATTATAATGTAGAATAATAGGGACCAAATGGACGCTGTCACTCATTTACATTTTAACAAATTGTGAATTTATAGAATTAAGCCTATAAATTACCACATGGGAAATTCAAAATATGTTATCTGAAAAAATCAAAATTATTAATTCATACAAGTTAATTAGGAAACATAAATAAATTATCAAATGGAACAACTTTTGGCCTGCTACTTTATACAATGTGCAACACAAATATACAAATGTAGAAAAATATTGTACTATGCACTGCACATCCCTTTCTTTCAATGCTTTTGTTTGGTCTTTGCAGAAATCTGTCCCTGTACAAATATAGCATCCTCGATACAAATCCGGTGCTCCAGACAACAAACGTAATATCGATTTACTGCAATCAATCTTTCTATTGGAGTAACCATTTAAGACGGAACCTCGGGATTCAAAACAGATTTACCCGCATTTGCATTCTTCAACTCCTCTTTAAGTAAAATCCTAATTTTTCGTCTCAGACTAGAAGCCTCTTGCGGTTTGAACCACCGTCTGCCAAACTAGGAGAAAATAGTTTGAGCAAGTATTGAGCCAGTACTTTCCAAGACAGTATTTCCATTAAAAAGCTTAACCAAACACAAATATTGAATATTATATACATCCACACAAGCACACCCACACACACCTCAGTGATGATTGAAATTCGCTAAAACCCGCACTCCGTAAAGAAAAAATGAGAGCAAAAAGCAGCAGGAAAAGATAAGAAGCCAGCACTGCAAAAATCCCTGATGCAGTATAGTAAGAGCAGAGAATTTTAGTACCATGGTCAAGTCTTTCTTCTTCAGCCTCTCAGGGGCGTCTTCAAGGAAGCGTTCCATGAAGTAAAGAACAAAGAGACCACAGTCGTAGTCATTTTGTTGTTGCGGTACCTGTTGCCATGCCAAAAGGGAAAAGAAAAACGCTGAATGATCAAACAAAGTGAAAAGGGCAGAAACACAAAAGATGGAACATTATGGAATCACCAGAGTAATACTAGGAAAGATATGAAGGAAGACGATATGCTTCAAATGATTTCCTTTTTCCATTTAACTGGCTTGTTCACAAGGGTATATATGGTATTTTAAAAAACATGAATCTAACCAAGTATGTTTATCTAGAAATGACAGAAATTGTTAAATACTTGTTCCTTCAACTTTTCATTTATATAACAAGTACTTATTCTTGTAAATATATCTACTAGTATTTGATTCATGTATATGTGAACAAACAGATCTTTCCAATAGGACCAATACTCTCTTTTTATGATTTCAAGTAAAATTTATTGTTAAACAACTCTATGTTTTCTCTACTTATCCAACTTGAACAACAATTTGAGACAGTTGCCAGCACCAGGGTAAAGAAACCATTTTATCTCCTTTTTTTTTTTTTTTTTCCTTTTTCCTCTCTTGAAAGCCAACAAAAAAGTTGCACCCTCTACATGTTTGATCGTCTTTGACAAAATTGGTGTTCGACATTTTTATCAGCATGATCTTTCTTTGTTCACTTCTCCTCTTCCCTAGTCATGCATGGTAATATCCATGGCCTATATATAAATACGCCAGGTCTCATAAATATCTCTGGGGGCACCTTACAATCTTGAATCAATAACCAGCTTTCAACTAGCCTAACCTCCTCCTCTGTCCCTTAGGACCAACAAGAGGTAGTACAGGAATAGTCACACATTCATTAACTACACCTTTCAACCTGATCTTAGGCCCTGACTCACCCTTTGTAGACTAAACCAAGGCATTGGAAATCCAGACCGGCTCAAAGAATCACTGGCGCCTTAGGCACCCTTCGTTTCACCAACTTCTACTAAAAAGATTGAGCCAAATACAAAGATTATATTGCATGTATTTTGGCTAAATCAAACTTCTCCAGATATATAAGATTTGAAATATAAAATCTAAGACTAAATCCAAATTGAAGAGGAACCAAAGCATTAAATTGCCCTTTATATATGTTCCTAAAGCATTTGATTCATCCTAGCATAAAGCACCTAGATAAGAACGATGTATCCAACCCAATATCATGGCAAGCACACAAAATAGATATATTAATTTACGCTCTGAAGTTAAGATCGATATCCTAAGAAGCACATATTAGAATACAATGCAAGTAGGCGGATAAAACTTTTTTTAAAAAATTAGAATGAACGAATACTTAAATATACATGTATATGTAGTATTTTTACAAGTTAAATCACAAAATTCATCATATTGATACTATTACAAAAAAATTATAGCGATTTCTGACATGTATTAAAATTCTTAATATTATTATCTATTTCTAATAATAAACTATAGTTATCAACTATTCACATCATTTTACGTGTTAAAAGTTGTAATATTATTGTCTATTTTCAATAATAAAACTTTAGTTGTCAATTAATTGATACTATATTATTTTCAACTATGATGCACCGACAAGAACAAGTGTCCTACGCCGATATGCGACTTTTCAAAAAAGTACTAACACGACACATCGTTGACATGTTGATTAAATTCTTTATTCATATAATATAATTTTAGTTTTATACTTATTAATTTTTCTTGTTGAAATCTTTTAAATATGAGTACATATTTATTATTTACTAATAACTTTGAGTTAAAATATATAATATTTCTAATAAAAAAGAAAAATGATTATGGTAGAGTATCCAAGGAGTGTCGATATCCGAGTATCGGTATCCGACACGTGTCGGACACGAACACAACATCCTAGTTGAAGTGTCTGTGCTACAGAGATGGTCAATAATAAGTGTAAGTGTGCAGTTATCTATTATCTAAAACACGTTTACTTTCTTCAAAATTGACCCACTTAAAAAAATGTTAGCCTAATTTTTACTTTAAAAAAAAAAATCTGCTTAGGGTTTGGCTTTCAACTTTCAAGCATCATCTTAGGGACACACGCCAACTACATTGCACCTAGAGTCGGCTTGTCGATGAGCTTTTTAGTTTAATTTTTTCAGATCCCACACATTTGTGAACACTGCAAACCACGGCAAAAGCTCTAAAAAACATAGAAAAACTAACATGTTGGCGAGTCCAATGAAAAATGTCCTTGCAAGTGAGTGAAGTGAAAGAGGCTATTGCCTCAAAAAAAGACAACCAACCCATAAACATTATTTTCACAAAGACGAATGCGGTGCCTGAAAGTTAAAGCCAAAGATTAAGAATTTTTTTTTATTTTTTTGAAAATAAAAAATGGGTCAACATTTTTTGAAGTGGGTCATTGGTCTTTTTTTAAGCAAATCAATTTCAAATAAAGTAATAATGTTTTAAGACAATGGATAACTACGCAATTTATAATTATTATTGAAAATAGATATAGTATTAAATAATGGTCAACTAGAGTCTTATTATTGAAAATAGATAATAGTATTAAAATTTTTAACGTGTAAAGCGTAACTACAGTTTTGTTTTGAAAATAACTAACAATATTAACTAACAATATTAAAACTTTTAGTACATGCTAGGTTTCTGTTTTATTTTTCTGTAATAATGAAATTATGTTGAATTTTATGATTTAATTAATGAAAGATACTACACACATGCTTAAAGTATTATATCTGAATTACATATCCGCGCATCCTAATTTTTTATATAAGTTGTATCGACGTACCTGTATCTTATTGTATCCAAATTATGTATTCAAATCTGTGCTTTTAACTACGCCATGAGGCATTTCCAAGGCGTGTTGGAGAGTATCAAGCGCGTATATTGGACACCGACATGCTGGATCTGGTAACATGTCGGTGCAACATAACTGATATTAACTAGATCCTATGAAATCTATATGCAAGCCTAATATTTTCTAGAAACATGTGAAATTATTTATTCACGGAATTATGTAGTTAAGAAGAATACAAAAAGAAATATTACAATCATAACCTTGTTTCAAGTAAGGACAGACCATGCTATTTCCCAAGATATTGAATTACAAACAGAAATTTTTCCAAACAGGCTCGCAATAACAGAATCTAACAATCATATTGAAAGCCAAAGAAGCACGGGAGTACCTCAATTATTTTTTCATCAATTCTTCGAGAAAGTTTCTGCCATATTTTGTCTGCGATCAGAAGCTGGGACTTAGATTCTCCTTGTCTCAAAAATTTCCACTCTTCTATTAGAAAGCTGCAGAATGATAGGTACATTTCATGTCAACAATAAGGTCAAGATGAAAATGACATTAACTTTCATATTAAACAATTATACTGAAAGTTAAAAAGAGAAATTGGTTGAACGAAATGTTTCTTACGACTAAATTAAGTGAATTATGCCTCGAACAGAATATACAATATGGAATGTCAAGCAGCAAGCACTGTGTACATTTGTAAGTTAAACTGTGCCATATGATCAAACAGCAATGTGTACATTTGTAAGTTAAACTACCATCAAAGAGAAGGAAGGCTACCAGCAACTTGTGCTCAAATTCAGTGCCCATGCCATTAAGAAAGCAAAGAAAAAACAGCAGATACAAGCAACAAAGAAAGATCGATGAATTTATAATCAGAACCAATACAAGTTATGGGGTTAAATAAAGTGAATGCTTCATATTTTATCAGAAAATAAGGACGAAGAGAACATATTAATACTGATTAGGATTTTACAGGTGCGTCACATTTTTTTCCTACCAGTCTATCCAGAGCTTATAAGAGTTAATGTACATCATACATTCCCTTACTACAGAACAGAAAGTATCACAGGATATCAATACCAAAGTAAGAATATGGCACCCACGCACACGCGCGCGAGCACAAAAAAAAAATCACAAAGAAGACTAGAAGTGAGTATTTTATCTACAAATAGGGCTTGTCTTGGGGTAAAAATAATTGATACAAGAGCGCAAAGTACCACACAAGACATATAATAAGTTTTAACAAGAAACAGAAGCAATCTTCTTCCCTATAAGCTGAAGAAATCAGGGGAGAGTGTGGAATATAATTAATAAGTGGTTCTTCACGCTAACATAAAACGGTCGTTTATTTGAAATTGCAAATGAGGAGGTAATTTCCCTTGATAACAAGCAGCCAAAGGTCGTAGCCTTGCATTCAAATATCGCCACCACCTTGTTACCAGACTTTTATGTGTTTGGTTCAGTCAGGAAGTATTCAACTCACACGTGAAATGGCATTTTTGACATATAAATTGTATACCAATCTACAACAGCTCAAGTTTTTGAAAGAATTGGTAATAAAAAAATAAGTCGATAATTGTGCACATGTCCACCCCATAAATGAATGGCAGCCATGGTCCAAATAGTATAACTATCATAAATCTCATGCACAACACCTCCACTGTAAAAGGCCGACCTTTGAAAAGCAGATAACATTGGCTAGGAACTTGTGCATAATAAAACAGTGGCATGCCACATAAATTTACAGCCAAAAACAGAATTCAGACCTCCTTATATTATTAAAAATTGACTTGCTGGAGTGAAGTTTTAAAGAGTCCAGATGAAGTAAAATTGGTCCTGATTCATCTTCCTTATCTGGAATACAAATTATGACCAAACTCCAGTGTAGACTGCAAAAAAGAGACAAAGCAGAACACAGAGATCAGTGTGAGCTCCACAAAACAGGTTAAGGGGTCTAAGCAAAAGTCTCCCACAAGTTTTAGGAACCACTAATTTGCAGACTCGCAAGTTTTAAAAATCAATGCATCCAATGCAGGAGTGAGCTTATTTATAGATGCTTTTAGATTAATGTACACTTCGCTAAACTACTGAATGAAAATACAAGTTTTCGAGAGACCTGCCTCTCTCCCCACCTCTCTCTCTAACAATAGAAAACAACCCTACACTACCCTTCCACCTTCATTTATGTTCACTGCAATTGTATTCCAGAAGATTCCCAAATTATCCACCATGTGAATCAGTGGCTTAAATATCCCTAACTGCCCTTTTTGCTTGAACTGTCCAATTTGCCCTCGAGATCCTATCATAGAGATTGATTTCATATTTGGATAAGAAGTACCCTCAACACCAGGGATGAAACTCAGAGATGGCTCTGATCATGTCTATAACACTCATAAGCAGCAATATGATGTGTGCTTCCAAATCAATGATTCGATAGAAACTAGTAAACGTTATACTGGTAGTTCACTGCTGCCATCAACATGGCTGCATCGACTGTTTCAGTCATATAATGACTATGTACGACATCTTGACCTCGTAGAAGTGCTAAACTTCGTTCAAGAAAAAGTTAAAGAAAACTTTTGATTATAAGATCAAGATCACCACATGTCAAGCAAGAGTGATGACAAAGTATACATTTGGAGACAATTGTATATACATGTTTAAAAATTAAAACCTCCTCTGTCAAAAGTGGAGATATAATAGATGAAAACGGATAATATTGAACAGAAATTGGAGTATAGATCTCTCAAAATTCCTCATTTTTCACCTTAATTAATCAGCATATCTTTCATTCCCACGAGTAACTAAATTCAACTCTGAAGAGCTTCAGAATTAACCATAACTTACTCTTCATGAATTGGTAGGAAAATATATGCTTTCTCAAATATATTGACGCCTTTCCACCATCTTCTGAACTTCAGAAATGAAGTCTCCAGCTCGTTCTGCATTATTGAAAGAAAAACAGTCTGAATTACTCCACGGAAAGTTAAACATTCAAATAGAGAATTGAAATGAGGATTCATCCGTGCAAATAAGCTAATCTGTATGATGAAAAAATATGTTTCTTTAAAATTCTCTATTGGATTAGAATAACAAATCCAACAACACACGGAATCACCAACAAAATGAAAATAGTCATCATACAAATAGAGTGAATCAATTGTCTTCCATCTCCTTTTTTAGGCCCATAACATCAACGGAACGATTCCCAAATAGAAAAAAGTTTACTTTAAACAATCACACAATAATGTGGAACATGAAAGAGAAAAGTGCAGTGAACATCCTCCTTCTCAACTAGAAGGCCATAAGGAACAACAAAATAGTGATGCACATTCAGATAATTTTTAATGCCTGCTTTTTCACCAGTTACTGAAGTATCAAGTATGAATTTGGAACTTCCAGGGGCACAAATAGTGACCCAGTTTAGTTGTAATAGAGAACTGGTGAATACACACAAAAAAATAGAGAACTGGTGAATCCAAAAAAGGTTTCAGTAGCAACGAATCGTTACCTTTCTTAGAACATCCTGTTTCAACTTCTCGTAAAAATATGTGTTAAAAAAATGATACTTGTGTCTTTCTGTGTCTGTCGAAGATGCTGGCTTCTGCAGATACCTACACATAGCGGAACCACAACTCGATTAAATGAATGTTCAAATTTCAAGGCTTTTGCCTCTCCCCATTTATTGCTTTAATCACCCAAGTGCATAAGCACATAGCATTCAAATGAAGTAGCACTAACGAAGACCTTAAGACTGACAAGATACAAATAAACATATTTTTTTATATTTTCTAACATAGGTTAAACATCATCACGAATGAATTCATGCAGTGTATGCAATGCCATTTACTTTGAATAGGTGAAAGTGAATTCAGGGAATCAAGTTTTAATATGATTGAAGAGAGAGATTTATGTGAGAAAATGAAATATGAAGGCAACTCATTAAAGATAGAAACTAATACAAATCGTAGGGGACGTAAATGACTCATCCATAGACCTCATTTCAAAATAATAAATTTCAACTTTCTCCCAGATTGGTTCCAATTACTAAGCAGGAATTGCAGTGGGAACATTAAGCAATGGATGTCAATGGCACAGCTACCAGAACTCACTAGCTTTCATTTATGGAAGTATAAACCCATTATCAATAGTGGTGAGACTTGATAGTTCCAGGTTTTAATTTGGAAAAATCGAGAATTATTCAATAATGTTGAAGAAATCAATGTATCAAGCTAACAAGCCGAAATACTAATTTATTTCCAAAAGCTGTCCAATAAAGTCATTTCCTAGAAACAGATAGGATCAGAATCCCAGGACAGGCTGATAAGAGCCAATGCAGATTGAATGAGTTCAATTTTAAGTTTCTTCATTACAAACAGGAGCAAGAAAATAAGTTTCTCAATAATCATATGGCTTCTACCAAGGATTAAAAAGGTGAAACTAAGTACTGAGACGGTTTATCTTTATGAGGCGAGACGTAAGCCTCGAGGCGGATTGAGGCGTAAGCTTCACAAAAAACAAAAAATCTAAATAAAAGAATTATAAAATAATACAAAAATACAAAACAACCAAAGTTGGAACATATAGTAAATAGGATAAATAGCCATTAGCATATCGAGATATACTCCACCTAAAGAAAGAAGATGTTTAGCAAAAAAAAGCATTACAGAAGTTAGAAATCACTCCATTTGCATGAACATTTGACAATGATGTGGGGATATTGAAGACATGTTGCAGATTAAGAAGTATGGATACATGAGTTTTAGAGTTTATACATGTGATTAGATGAAATCGTGTGTTAATTATATAAATCAAAGCATTTATAAAATTTATAATTTTCGGATGTGTATATGAAACAACTAATTGCATGCAAGATTTATTGAACCCTAATAAGAAGAAGAAAAAGAAAAAGAAAAGAGGAAAAACATATCTGATGAAGAAGACGATACTCTTCTTGAATTCTGACTTTTGAATTTATGTTGAATCTGTTCCTTTTTGGTCCTCTAATTTCTGGCTGCCGTGTAGTTTTCTAGGTATTTTATTGTTTTGTTTGGGCCCAAAATGCCTTTTTAAATGAGTCATTTTCTTTTTTAAGAAGGGCCATTTCTGATTTCTTTTCATACAATTGAAAAATCAAATTTTAAATATGGCGCCCGCCTCAGATTTAGAGGCGTGAGCCTCATTTTTAGCCTAAAAAATACCGCCTCGAGGTATACTACATGTGCCTCACAGTGAGGCGCGCCTCTCACTACCGCCTTTTTAAACCATGGCTTCTACAAAATAATACTGCTTACATGAAACAAGACGTTTAAGTATATTCCAGCGAAGATCATTATAGTAGCACTACTATCATAAATCACATAGGAGAGAAAGTAGAGGGAGAATTGGGTACTTATAGATGTGTGAGTGTGTGTCTGTGTGTTGTGGAAGGGAACTCAAAATTTGGAAGCCCCTTGCTTAAAGATGATAATGATAAAATTTTAATCTGATTCCCACATTGACTTACCGAATGTAATAATTCATTATGTCTGATGACAAGTACGACTGAGGAGCTAAACATTCCATGTCCGAGTAATAGAATTCAACTGATTCAGGATCATACCTATATTTTACAAGTTCGGAAGAAAAAATAACTTAGAACTTGTAAGAAGACTTTAAAAGATGTCTGTTCAAGGTAAACGACATATCATATTCATTATAAAAATTTCAATACATATTTCACCTAGAGGAATAGTACATCTTAGTCTCTTCATGCTGAATGAATAATAAGAACAGGATCAGCACACTAAGCTTACTACAAAAGTTAAATTATGTCATTGTGATAGCATTCATACACTTGGTCAGTTTTTCTTGCTTTCTCTGGAACCTCAGGTTCCTCCTCATCCTCTAAAACGATACTCTTTCCCTGAAAAATAATGTCAGGATAGAGTGTGAAAACCATGAACAACAAATAGAAGATGATAGGACTGTAAAGAACACTGCAGCATTCTGAACTAATACACAAGAAGGAAACAATCTAAAGGGGGACCTAAAAAAGAAATGCTAAATGCATTACTATGACTCCACAGAATATGGCTGACACTTATAACTCGAGGGGACAACAGTGTCCTGCCCAGCACACTACTCGACTTGAAAATAAATAAAAAATTAGAAGAAAGCTGATACAACCCTTATGGAGGTCATTGGAATGGTTATGATGCAATGAAGCGGGGTCAATAAGTCAAGGTAACAACTGATTATATTAGCTGCAAAGCAAATTACAAGAACACAATCACCGTCAAATAATATATTTGAGTTCGGAAGTTTGGTGGACAAATTTTAAGCCACCTAAATTGCATATCCTTTTCAAACACTGGAATCTCACGTTCATTCACCATTTTTAATTACTTTTTTTAATTTCATTCAAACAAGCACGTGAATGTCTAGGAATACAATATAATGGTTGACAAATCTCTCTTTTTAGACAAGCATAGAAATTTCGTTTTGGATATAGCATTTTTAGTTTACCTTCATTATGTGGGTAATTTAGTGAGACGTCTAAGAAGTTTGAGATGACCCCTATTCCAGAAAATATCAAAGGTAAAATCAATGTAAGAAAACTAATTGTAACAGACAATGATGGCATAGTGTCAAATAAATATAGTGTATATATATATATATATATATATATATATATATATATAGATAGAGAGAGAGAGAGAGAGAGAGAGTCTCTCTCTCTCTCTCATTTATTAAGGAGTGTATGGGGAACTTACATTATTGTACCTCATATTCTGTGAAGGTTGGACACAAGCAGCACTCCTGGCAAATAGAAAAAGCAAAAAGAAAGAGATCGGAATCAATTAGAGAATATCCACCATATATTACCATGTGTTATTTTGATTGGTGAAGAGTTTACAACCAAGTTCCAAAACAAGGAAAAAACATGAAAACTAAACACAATTAATTTTTCCTTCATTTTTCTGGTGTGAATAGGCCAGGAGATTTTGTTGGTGATTAAACAATTACAGATCACTAGCTAGACTTCCACGCTGACTGAATTTGGCAACATCAATAGCAAAGAGACAAGAAAACTTTTCAGACTGTTGATGTTTAGCTCTGCCCTGCTACATCAAAGATTTCTTTTGTTCAGTAATAAGATGCTTGGATTAACAATTGCAATTCTTTGGTTGGTAGCCACTCCTTACATACATTGCAGTCAATGCTGAAAGTAAGACACTCAATCTTCTTGTCTTGAGACCCTCAGCCTACACATTTTATGCTCTGCTTATGATCCACAGACTATAGTCCATCATGGACATGAAAGGAAAGAGAAGGAAAATTGGAATTATGCAAAGAATGAAAAGAGAAACTTCATAGACCTTTTTTACACTGGTTAGTACCTAGAAAGGGAGGTGGTTTGGCTCCTTCAACCCACTGCAATTTTCTTTGATTGTTATGTGAAAATTTCCCAATTCAGTGGAGTGCGTGGAGTGCGTGAGTATAAAATAACTTTCCATGCCCATCCCATATAACAAATAGGGTCACCATTTCCCCAAAAGAAAGATAATAATAATAAAACATTAAATCACAAGCAAGCTAATTACCAAAAGGTACAAGTTGACAATCAGCAACATAGTATCTATAAGTTGCAAAAATCAGTACTGATGGTAGCAGTATTATGGGTGATTAAAAGACTTGTGTAAAAATTGTATAGGCATTCTGGCGAAGATGTAAATAGATGAAGACAAATACATAGACATAATAGAAAGTAATACTTCTTTGTTAAACGGCCTGATAAATCATCTTCAAAATGATGAGGCGAAGGAGTTGGAGAGAGATTTCTCTTTCGTTCACCATTTGATAGGGATTGCTCAACAACTTTTACTGAAAGATGGAATGAAGCTTGAAATGGTGTTTGTCTCAAAGATAAACCACCCTTTTTTATTCTCCTGGCTGAAAACTTCCTGTCTACTCTTGTATTCTTCCTACCACATTGTATCAAAGTAGATATGTCTTTTCCAGGGGCATTGGTTGTCAAATGAGTTGTCTGTATAATCATGTGCATAAAACAATGAAAGTGACTCAAAGATTAAAGCAGCCAATACTATGAAGTAAAGTACTCAAGGAAATCATACTTTGTCATCCAAATTGCTGCAGAAACGGGAGCTGAATATCGACAGCGACGAGTGTAAAGAAGATGGAGCTCGTGACCCGGTGAAATCAGGTTCACCTGCACAACACCTTAAACTTTAAACTTCTGCTCTTTGCAACAGATGTTCTAAATAAGACTGCAGGGAAGAAACAGTACGTCAAATGCATTTGACATGCAAACCAAAGCATCATAGAGTATGCCCAATTCCTTGCTTCAAATTTAATTATCTGTATTGTTTCAAAAATTAATGAGAAAGAAAACACGTGCTTCTCTTTGAAGGATGGCAAAAATCAAAGTCAAGAATCCCAATAATTTAAGACTTGAAAGATACAATCACTGCAGTACTCATCCTTAGTGCCATGATTTTGTATTTGCATTGAACAGATTATTTTTTATACCCCGAATTAGAATTTCCAACCTAAAACAAGACCTAAATGCAAAATATTTTCAAGCATTATCAGCATTTTGAAAGACTATACATGAGAGAAGTTTCCGATACTGACTTTTAAAGAGACGTGTAAATATAGATATAATAAGCTTATAAAGCAATAATGACTTTACCAGTACAAGTTCTGTTGTTGATAGATTGTACAAGCTCCGTGCATTTTTCATCATCCTGATAAGCAAATTTATACAAAGATTACTAATTTAACACGTAAAATGCAAGTGAATAGATGGATCATGGGATCACGGTATCTGCATATGCTCCTATATTCAAAGTTGACTTCGATCTTTCTCGAAATTTTTTTCCTTATACTAGCAAAGATGCACTCCAAATTACCCTCTCTCTCTCTCTCTCTCTCTCTCTCTCTCTCTCTCTCTCTCTCTCTTTCTCC